GAGTTAGACCATAAATATATATATATATATAACAACATTTTAAAATCCCCTAAAAATTTGTGTTTCTTATTCTTGCAGGTCTCAGCAGCCCAACTTGTTTTGCATATCAGAGAAGGAAAAAAAAAAAAAACAAGGCCAAATTAAGCTGTGGTTCTCACTTGGGTGATTGATTTTGCACCCTGCCCCTACTTCAGGGGTATTGGGCAATGTCTGACAACATTAAGGGAATGAAATAGCTTGACTATAATCTGATCTGATTGAAGTGGAAAGACGGGGCTTGTTGGCAATGGAAGCCCTGGGAAAGGTTGTTCGGGAGACAAGCATCAGAAAGGCCCAGCCAAGCTGGATCTAGGAAAAATCTCCAATTTTTAAAAATATGAGACAGGGAAATAGACACATTAACTGGACATTCAATAATACTAAGTAATGATTTCTAATTCTTAAATGCTGTAATGGTTTTCTGTTGCTGTGTAATTTACCACAAATTTAGTCTTTTAAAACAACACACATTTGGTGTTTTGCTGTTTTGGTGGGTCAGGAGTCCAGGCATGGTTTAGCTGGGTCCTCTGCAAGGCTCAAATCAAGGTGTTAGGTAGGGCTGGGTTCTCTGCAACTGAACCGAAAGGTCTGCTTCCACGCCGCTCAGGTTGTTGGTAGAAATCAGTTCATTGCTGTTGTAGGACTGAGAGCCTCCTCACTCTGGTCCTAGCTGTTGGCTAGAGGCTCCCTTCAGCTTCCAGAGGCTTCTCTAACACAGTACTTTGCTTCCTCCAAATGAGCAAGGGAGAGATTCCAGCAAGACTGATGTGACAGCCTTATATGAGTAACACAATCATGGAATCATTTACACATAATCACATGTATCCCAAAGTATCTTTGCCTTAGAGGCAAGTAACACTCAAAGGGAAGTGATTATGAACACAAAGAGGCAGGAATTATGGGGTTACTTTAAGAGTCTGTGTACCATAGATGTGATACTGGTATTGAAGTAACTGTTTGTTTTTAAGATTTTATTTATTTATTCATGAGAGACAGAGAGAGAGAGAGAGAGAGGCAGAGACACAGGCAGAGAGAGAAACAGGCTTCACACAGGGAGCCTGACGTGGGACTCAATCCCGGGTCTCTAGGATCAGGCCCTGGGCTGAGGGCGGCACTAAACTGCTGAGCCAGCAGGGCTGCCCAGTTTGTTTTTTTTAATTGAGGTATAGTTGACATGGTTACTTTCTTTAAAAGCCCTTATGTGTTAGGGCTAAATACTGAAATACTTGCCAATGAATGATGTCTGTCAATGGGTTTGCTTCAAAAAAATCCAGAGGATAAAATCTTTTAAAAAGGGGGGGGGGGCAAAAAAGGGGGGCAGGGAAGGGGGCACCTGCGTGGCTCAGTCAGTTAAGTGTCTGCCTTCAGCTCAGGTCATGATCCAAAGGTCCTGGGATTGAGCCCCACATTGGGCTCCCTGCTCAGCATGGAGTCTGCTTCTCCCTCTGCCTCTGCCCTTCTCCCTCTCATGCTCTCTCAAATAAAGCAATAAAATCTTTAAAATAATAATGATAATCCAGAGGGGGAGGAGAAGTAGGTATAATTGGGTATGAGTGAGAAATTGTTGAACCTGGCTGATATGTTCATGGGAGCCTATTAAATATTCTTTATACTTTTGTATATGTTTGAATTTTTCAGAATAAAATTAAATAGGTAGCATGTGTATTCGTTCTCTATTGCTATAAAACTAATTACCTCATAACCTAGTCATTTAAAAACAAACATTTATTATTTCAGAGTTTTCAGGTCAGAAATTTGGCACAGCTTAGGCTGGTGCCTCTGGTTCAGGGTCTTAGAAGCCTACAGTCGAAATGTCAGCAGGACTACAGGCATCCAAGTCTTGATGGGCTAGACCGTCTCCTTCCAAGCCCATTCATATGGCTGTTGATCAGCGTCTCCTTAAGGCAGTTCACAAGGTCACAAGGGGGCAGCTGACTTCTCACAGAGCAAGTGATGAGAAAGACACATACACATATCTATGGAAACATAAAATGCAGTTTTTTATAACTTAATCTCAGAAGTAACATACCATCACTGCTGAATATTCTTTTGGTCACATAGACCAAACATTGTGAAATGTGGGAGTAAAGACTGCACAAGGGTTTGAGTAGCAGAAGGCAGGATTGTTGAGAGTCATTTTGGAGGCACGCTACCTACCACACGTAGTACATAAGGCAAAAATTGTGTGCTGTCCAAAATGTCCTTGAAAATCCTGTACATAACTTATAAAGCATAGTAGACTGATAGTGTACAAGCTCAATACTGCCAGTTTTTTTCTAGTGCTGGAACACCTCACTGGTTGAGTGCTAGATAAAGTTGTTGGCTTGAATTAGGGACCACTGGAGTCTTAAAAATAAATATATTTAAACACTAAAAAACATTGAACCATGCCAAGAGCATATATAGTTACATTCAAGCAAAGTAAATGCATTACGATGGAAATCTAATACGTCGTTAAAGTGGGGAAGATTATGTCTTGATGATATCTGTCATTTAGGTCCATTTTGCTGACTCTCCTTGTTTCAGATCCATGTTCATAAAGCCACTTTCTGATTATAATTTGGCTTCCTGGGGCACCTGGGTGGCTCAGTGGTTGAGCGTCTGCCTTTGGCTCAGGTCATGATCCTGGGTCCTGGGATCAAGTCCTGCATCAGGCTCCCTGCAAGGAGCCTGCTTCCTCCCTCTGCCTGTCTCTCTGCCTCTGTCTCTCTCATGAATAAATAAAATATTTAAAAATAATAATTTGTCTTCCCAAACATATGCAAATGGAGAGAAAATGCTCTGATCTAATCCATTCTAGGATTAAACTTCTCATTGTAAAATAAAAAATTGGCATTCTGGTTTTACACATCAGTATAGGTAAATGTGACTCTGCACCTGAAAGATAGATTCATTCTTGGTACATTTACATAATAGGCTTCTGAACCTGCACCGCTGAGTCCCTGGTCTGTGATGAATTTACCCAAGTAATACCACCGAGTACATGCCATCTGAATGGCTTAAACAACTTCCCCAGGTGTGGCAGCTATATTTACCATATGCAGAATATATCCATGAGTTCCCCCACATTTCTCAGTTCCCTTGCTCTTAGATAAGGGTATATAATCAGTTCTGGCCAATAAGCTTTGAGCAGAATTGACACCTATCACATCTGAGGCAATCAGAGGGAGACTTCCATACACTCTTTCCTCCTGCTGCAGCACCTGAGGCCTCATGTTGAAATAGCAGAATGCAAAATCAGCCTGGGCCACTGCATGACCAAGGAACAGAACTCCTCCTGACTTGTACTAGACAAGTGATAGGAGTGAAAATAAAAGTTTATTATATCAAGCCTCTGATTTTGTAGGTATTTCCTACATTAAGATAACCCAATCTAACTCAATATACCCAAGAACGCCAACTTTGATGGGAGCTCTTGTTTCAAGCAATGGCAATATTATACTTGAGTGCTGGGATACATCTCTAACAATCTCCCTACACATTACACTATGTCCACTCTTAATCAGAGTAGGTAGGTAAGAAGTGTGCAGAAGCAGAAGAGGCAAGGGAAAATCTGCACCCTCAAAGCCACCCTACTTATATCAGCAAAAAACTCACTCTGCACAGTATGCTGATTCTAGAAGCTCTTTGCTCCTGCTACCCAAAGATGTCATTTCATTTCTTCTTATTATCCATTTGGGTATCCCTCTCCTGCCCCACCCGTTTCCTTGGCTGCCCCTCTGGAGCACTATGACCCCTACAGCCACTCAGTCTTTGACCAGGTTGACCAAGTAAACACAGTAAATATGATCAGACTATTCTGACTCAACTGTTCATTTCTAAATGGACGATTTTTTTAAAGTAACTTATAAAAGTTAATATAAGGTTTAAAAATATAGGATGAAGTCGCACCTGGGTGGCTCAGTTAAGCATCTACCTTCAGCTCAAGTCATGATCTCAAGATACTGGGATTGAGGAGGACTCAACTCAGCAGGGAGTCTACTTCTCCCTCTCCCTCTGCCCCTCCCCACCCCTGCTGCACACTCTATCAAATAAATAAATAAAAATCCTTTAAAATATAGGATGAAAAGTCAACTCAGATGTTTCAAATAACAACTTTCATACAAAAAAGAATGCAGAGTCACCTCAGGAACTTGTATCCCAAAAATATCTATTAAGAACTTAGGAGATTAAGAGTACACTTATCGAGATGAGCCCTGAGTATACAGAATTGTTGAATCACTATATTGCACACCTGAAACTAATATAACACAGTATATTAATTATACTGTAATTTTTTAAATAAATATTTTTTAAAAAGAGCATACATTTGGATGATAAAATTCAGACCCTTTCAACTATGCGTTTATATAAAATCATTCATACAATTCAGTCCCAGATTGAGAAAACCTTGTGAAAAGCCTCTGTAATTCTCACCCTTGGTGTCATGATCCACTGATGAGTTGTGAGAAGCTGTGAGGTATGTGGCAGATCATTGGTTACTCATTAAGTTAAAGCTTGGAGGCTAGAGAATTGTTTACTTCACTGTAAATTAGGGGAAATACAAGATTATTGCTAGAATAAATTCACTGTTATATGCCTTAGAAAAAATTAATAAAAATAGAAAACAAAATTGGGACACTATTGGAATTTCTAACTGATTAGCTTGCAGTTTTTGAGATGGCTAAGAATTACCATCAATGAGACCACCTTAAACAAACACTATTAATGACTTGAAAAAGCCCCCATCCCAGAGCCAATAACAGATAATCAACATTACAGATTTAACTGAAAGTTATGTTAAAACCAATTTTATTTTTTTTAAAGATTTTATTTATTTATTCATGAGAGACACCCAGAAAGAAGTAGAGATATAGGCAGAGGGAGAAGCAGGCTCTCTGCGGAGAGCCTGATGTGGGATTCAATCCCAGGACCCCAGGATCACACCCTGAGCCGAAAGCAGATGCTCAACCACTGAGCCATCCAGGCATCCCAAAACCAATTTTATTAAGGTAAGAGAAGAATGCCTTTTAAGCTATAGCTCTAAAGCCATACATCAAGATAAAGACATTACATTTGCTTTTAGTGTTTAATTTTACTACCACACTAATACACATACATCTTTTGAAATTTCTGACTTTATTGGTTATTCTGTTATATGTTCTGATTGTTAGTTATTGAACATGAGTGTGTTCCAATAAGGGAAATAATTTCTTAGGTGCATTAAAATGACTCCCAATCTTACCTGTCCACACACACATATGAATAGCTTTCACCTTTCTATCTTCATGACCCATCTTTGTCCATGTAAGTTCATATTGTACACAGACATAACAATGCTAACATTTTGAATTCTCTTTCTTAGAATTATATCATGAAGTATTTTTCAATATTTCCAAATGATTATTGGGTCTTTTTAAAGGCTACAAAATAGTCTATCAGATACTCATACCTGAGTTTAAATGGTTTGCTCTTACTCCCCATAAATTTGTTCCTCATTGTGTTATTGGTAGTCATAATCAGGTGACAACATTATTTTGTTACTGGTTACTTCCATTGCAAATACACTCACAGGTAGAGTCAAAACTCCATTAGTGAATTAGTTAGAAAGCGTGATTAAATTTCCATTAATATGTTTTCATTTTTCTATTTCTAACATGAGGATGAAGTGAACTGCTATGCAAGTTTGGTAAAGGCAGCCACTTCCATTTCTTTTTATGCAGAAAATACTTAGTCATTCAAAATAACAAAATAGTGGCATCAAAAGAACCACGACCACAACCACATCTAGGCTGTCAGAGTGCCCTCTAAAACAATAGCAGTGCCACCCTTAATGTCAACTCGTCCATCGGGGCACAGTGAAATCTCCAGTTCTCCTCCTCGGCGGGAACACTGAAAGGCTAAAGAAAACATAAAACAAGTCACAAATTGATATTGTTCCTTTTCACCCCTTCTAATTAACAAAACATAGTGAAAGACCTCTTAGTATAAGTTCCAGAATCCTCCCAGCTCAGTTTAAAGTATAAATTTCTTCATCTATCTGTCATACTGCCCAGACTGCTCTGTTCTCCTGAGGATCCAGGGGCCACAAACACAATTTGATCCACAAAACACACAGCTCCACATCTTTTCTTCCTGAGTCATTTCCTCTATTACTTCCCACAATGTCCCAGACACACCCCACCCAGAGTTTCCTCCCCACTTCCGTCTAGGAATAAGCAAGGACATGTGATAAGATAGAGGCATGGACTAGAAGTCTAAATAAATAAAGAGGGGTGATCTTGGCCCTCCTAAGACAGCCTCATCTTTCCAAAAGGGACAAGGAATTTGTTCACCTGTTGTGCGTATCAAGCAACCACACGTCAGGCAAAAAAAGAGGCACAGCTTCAGCCTTCCTGGAGTTCAGTGCGTAGGGGAGTAACTAGGATCACCAAAGCAAGAGGAGCCAACCAGCTATCCCCAAATCAGACTCACAGAGGCCTCACCCTCCCACTAGGTCAGACTTCCATCCTGTAGGGTCGGATTCCTACTTTGATTATTGGGACTATGTAGCCTCCATTGGCTGTAATCTATTTTCTCTGCCCCCAGGCAATATATTAATCACTGGGGTACTTGGTTCAAAAGCAAATTGTTTGATTCAATCTTGTGCCTAGCAAAGGCATAAGGAACTTTGGCAATCATCTGATTTCAACTTGTCACACTCTCAATAACCTCACTGAGCCAAAGTTATACAGTTAATTTTATTCAACATACATTTATTGGACACTTACTGTATACTGTATTAGAAGTGTATCTGTGTGTTGGAAAGGACAGGAGTGGAAGATGTTCTGAGTAGAGGATTCAAGATGAAGGAATTGAAAACCTTTCATTTTCACATGGGTGATACATGACATTTTATTACACCTTCAAGTAAATAGTACATATGAGAAGGAATCCTAGCCTAAAGTTAGCAATTTTTTAAAAATTGAAAAAAAAAAAACCCTGCCCCCTACCATGCATGTCTTTCTTCCCCAGTTGCTGGGACCAGTAGCTGCTGAGAACAGCATGCGCAGACCCTTAAAAAGAAGTGAAAAATTATGATACAAAAACAGGAGTGACACTGTTATAAATTTAGAAGCAATCACAAACAACTATGTGGTTTGACTAAACCTTAGATGCCTTAGTCATTATGTTGGCCATGGCCACAGTAGAGTGTGAAATTACGAATGGACATAGAAAGGAAGACACAGTATTTCTGAATACGTTCCTTCAAATGATATATCTGCTATGTTTTACACTTTCTGAAAGCTGAATTAAACTGCAAGTTTTTCTAATTTTTAATTTGAGTCTAGTAGACACGCAATATTACATTAGTTTCAGGTATACAACATAGTGATTAAACTTCTCTGTATGTTACCCTATGCTCACCACAAGTGTAGCTACCATCCATCACTTGGGTTGCTTCCATCTCTCGGCTTTGGTACATAATGCTGCAATAAACACAGGTGCATAGATCTTTTTGAATTAGTAAACTGCAGGTTATAATTTTTGTCCTATCAGTTCATTGTCAGCCTGTGAGGGCTTCAACCCAAATCTTTATCTTTCAAAGGAAACATCTCCTTCCTCCTAGGATGAACATGCAAGGAAAACTGGGAACTCTGACAAAGGGTTAAATTTTCCATTAAGCGTACATTTTCAGGCTTTTGATGCCAAATGAACTTTCTTTTAGTGAGGTATTTTTTTTCACTCAATTGTGGCCTAGTTTTATATCAGTGAATAGATATTAAAATGAAGAAACAGGGCAGCCCGGGTGGCTCAGCGGTTTAGTGCTGCCTTCGGTCCCGGGCATGATCCTGGAGACCCGGGATGGAGTCCCACGTCAGACTCCCTGCATGGGGCCTGCTTCTCCCTCTGCCTGTGCCTCTGCCTCTCTCTCTGTGTCCCTTATGAATAAATAAATTTTTAAAATCTAATAAATAAATAAAATTAAGAAACAAAATATAAAGTAATAACTGACAGAAAAGTCTTTGGAGAGAGAAAAGGATGAGTTTTCTTCAGGAAAACTTACTAAAAGTCATGAAGAGCTCCATCTAGGGTGACCAATCATCCCAGTTCGCCCATGGGTGTCCTGGTGTTAGCACCAAAGGGCTAACATATGAGAGAAATATGCTGAGAAATCCCTCAGTCTCCAACAAGCTGAGATGGCTGATCCTCACTGTCCCAAGACTGTCCCACTTGAGAAAAGCATTATTACAGGAGAAAACACTTGCCCTCTGTACCAATTAAAATCTTCATAAAGCACCTATATATAAATCTACTTGAAACTTCTTTTTCACGGGGTAGCATCAAGCGGTACTGTGTGGATGTCATTGGGCATTTTCCTGAGTCTCTAAAAAAAAAGTGCTTTGCTGAACTTTGAATTTCATATGTTTTCTTTCTCAGAGACTAAGTAAAAGTCCTAAAACCATCCCGGCCTCTGTCTTTTTTCCAGAGTTGGAGCCTCAAAGGTTCTTCCCAGCCTCCTTCTTCCCTGGCCACCATCCTATCCACCAACCTCTTCCATCAAGCATTCCTCCCTTTTTCTGCTTAGCTCACTCTTCTCAGAGGGGATGAAAGGAGGAAACTTCACATTCTTGCTGATCTTTGATGTCATCCCTCTGCTTCTGGCCAGTAGATCTTGAGTACCAATCTTCCCAAACCCATCCCACCCACTTTGGGGCAGTTCTGGGAAAGCCATCCCTGTCCCAATTTCCTACCTACATACCAGCAGCTTATCCTTCAAAAAACAAATCTTATTTAGGTGCCAATGATAATGCAGGTTGGTCATCGGAAAAAGAAAAGAAAAGAAAAAAGAAAAAAGAAAAGAACGGCTTTGTGACTATAGTGGACATAGGCCCCTGAATTTTGCAAATGGCAGATCTGGAAGTGTTGGTTCAAGGAACTGTTTCATCATTATTATTAAAACAGCTAATAGTTATTGGGCACTTATCATGTGCCAGGCACTGGGCTAAGCACTTACCATGCATTGTTTTTACATAACTCTATGAAGTATTACTAACATTCAATAGGGGAGGGAATAGAAACTTTATTATTATTTTTTATTTTTTTAGTTTTTATTTAATTTTTACTTAGTTAACATATAGTGTAATTTTGGTTTCAGGAGTAGAATTCAGTGATTCATCACTTACATGTAACATCCAGTACTCATCACAACAAGGGAAATAGAAACTTTAAGAGGTTAAGTCATTTGCCCAAGGTCAACAGTAAAGCAGCTAGGATGCAAACCCAGGCTGTCCGAATGAAGTTTTAACCCTGCTATACTGCCTCCTTCATTCTGTGGTTTTCACATGAGACTTCAGTGAAGGAATGGGGAAATAGGGAAACAAAAACAGCTCAAAAACCTGAAAGGTCATGTGAAGGGCACTTATAGAACTATTTGTTACCCTCCTCTACCACTGAACCCTCCCCAGGATCCAAGTCAAAAAGTACCTGTTACAGGATCTTCAGCCACACCAACCCACGGTGCAAAATATCTGGAGTAAAAGTCAAATGTTTGGGTCTGCCCTCCAGGCTCTCCTTTAAGGGTGAGAATGAGTCCTTTCACCTTCCCTGTGTTTTCCACTTGCAACAGATCTTGTGTGTTCACCTTCAGGTTCTCCAGAAATGACCTTGTTCATAAATGGGATGGATTAAGACAACCCATCTCGCAGACCACTATACAGAGTCTATAAAGCAAAAGAGGGTGCGGCTTGCCCAAACAGCTCAGCAGGAGAGGAGGAAAGAGCAAGGAGAGTATCTTTCTTCCTGGGAATAAAGCTCTCTGACTGCATAAATCACATTTTGACTGGATATAGCACAGACAAAGCCAGAGCTATAGAGTTCTCAGCCCTCCCCAAAGTGCTGATGAAGCCAGAAATCTTGTTTACCTCTTATAAGTGTCACTGAGTCGGACAAGGAGTTTTCGGGTATCTGGAGAATAGCGAATGTCTTGGACCAGGGTGTTACCTATAGCAGTCTGTGGAGATAGACCAAAAACTCCTCAGGAGTGCCCCCTGGATCAAATCATGATCTTCTGTATGGGGAGCAACTTCTCATGAGCATTTCCTGTATGCCAGGCACACCCAATGTCTCCAATCCCAAGAGTTTTAGTTCAGTTTCAGAACTCAAGGTATTGCCTAAGGAAGGCCAGTTTTCTGGAGACCAGAGAACTTTAAAGGGGGTTGAGCTTACCCTCTGAGAGCCAAAGACAGACATTGTTCATAAGCATTACTATGTGCCTCATCACAATCCTTCAAATGGGCGTTTTCCTCACAAATAAGGAGGAAGACTTAGGCCCAGGGACAGGGATGCGCATACACACACACACACACACACACACACACACACACACACACCACACACACACACCTTGACCCAGGTCTGAGGGGTCCTGGCATCAAAACTCTGAATCACTACTGTCTACTGTCTGTAGAAATGGGGGCCTCAGGCACACCTCTTAGCATTGTTGTGAGGATTAAATGAAATAATATATATGGAGTCCCAGCAACAGTAACTAGAAGATTCTACATGGTAAGGTCTCCAGGCCAGCAGTTTGAATGGAATTGGGGACTACAGCACTCATCTTAATGCTGCTCTGTGTGGCAAGCACTGTTTTCACTTAGATTGTATGCTACAGATCAGTAACACAGCAACATTTTCTAAAGATACCATGATTCACCCTTTACCTAAGACTGCACATGACCTAGAACATTGTTGACTTGGAGTGCTGAAAGGGATGAGGAAGGAGGGGGTGGAAACCCCTCCAAGTCACCCTCTGGAACCACCCCTGGCTGTGGGTAGAGTAGATGAAAATTACACAGTAGTTATCTGGCTATCATTAGGTAACTTCAGGTTCTCTAACTTTCTTTAGTGACTGAGATGCTCCAGGTCCCAAAGCCAAAACTCCCTCTGCTTTGGGTGGTGCCTCGGCTATCTGCTCCTGTGACCACTGCTAAATAATGTCCCTCCCTCTGAAAATGGAATCTCTTGCAGCCAGATCCCATCTGTTCTCGGGGCTTTTCAGTTTCTCAAAGGGGTCATTCAGCCTTCCTCTGCATGGATTCTTATGTCAATTTGAAAGTCTAATTTTCAGCTGAGAATCTTATTGCCAATTTCTAGGAACACAAAATAACAATACTCAGGATAAAAAGCCCTTAATCATCACCCCATTACCAATGCTGACCCTGAGGCTTAGAGATACCACGTTAAATTCTTTCTACCATGAACAAGGTCTATACAGTGAATATTTTCCATTTTCTTGTCAACATGCTTAAAGCAGTTCATTCATGAATTTGGCTTGTCTCATAAAACCCAAGACATAGGTGGGGCAGAGTGTAAAATCGGAATCTGTAATGCTTGCTTTTATTCTTTGAAAATGTAGATAATGCAAGACACTAAAGAAATTATAAATGCTGTAGTTGAAAATTCACAGAGAAACACCCCAGTGGTACCCACAATAGGTCATTTAGTGAGAATTGGTTTTCTCACTGCATCCCTTGCCCTGGTCCTGACTGGGCCCTTCCTTCTCTACAAACTAAGTCCCAGGTCATCCAGGGCTGTTCGGGCCCTCTGGCCCTCTGGAATCCCCATAAGACAACTGTAGCACCGATTTCAACCAGTGACAGTATTAAATGAGATAGTTGCATGTGAAAAGCTTAGTACTATGGACTACACAGGGGCGACTCTCAAAAATGTTCATTAGCATGATTGTTATTATTGTTATGAAGACCCACCCCTACCTAGATCTCTTGAGGAAGCCAGACTATGTATGAATCTTGCCTTCTCTGTCAAGTTGCCCGTGCTTTCCTGCCCCCCTCCATCGAAGCACAGACCCTCACCTCAGCTCATTCTTCACCACAGAAATTGGGGCTGCCCTGCCCAGCAGTTTTTATTGCTTTCATGCTCAGCCCAACACCAGCAGTCTCTCCTCCCCCTTACTTCAGGAGGCTACTGCTGGCAATGAAGAGTTAGGGACAACTGCTCAAACTTCTCACCAAATAGAGTCAACACTAAAATTCACACCTCGGGATCCCTGGGTGGCGCAGTGGTTTAGCGCCTGCCTTTGGCCCAGGGCGCGATCCTGGAGTCTCAGGATCGAATCCCACGTCGGGCTCCCCGTGCATGGAGCCTCCCTCTGCCTATGTCTCTGCCTCTCTCTCTCTGTGTGTGTGTGTGTGTGTGTGTGTGTGTGTGACTATCATAAAAAAATAAAAAAAATAAAAAAAAATAAAATTCACACCTCAAATGCACTTTACATCCAAGCATATGTGGGAACATTTATACTGATAGAAGGCCTATCTTTGGGGGTCATATGTTATTGAATTTTTTTTAAGATTTTATTTATTTACTTGAGAGAAAGTGAGAGAGGACAAGCAGAGGGTGGGAGAAAGGGAGAGGGAGAAGCAGACTCCCTGCTGAGCAGGGACTCCAACCCAGGGCTCAATTGCAGGATCATAGGACCCCGGGACTCAATCCCAGGATCCTGGGATCATAACCTGAGCCAAAGGCAGATGCTTAACCAACTGAGCCACCCAGGTGCCCAAATGGTACTGAATCTTTGTGTTCAAACAAGTGACCAAATCACACGAGCTTAGGTTTAATTCTTTTTTACCTACTTTTATCAAGTCCTCCACTTCATGGAAGTCCTAGATGAGGAAAAAAGATGAGACCATTGTAAAACAGGAAAGCTGTCCATTAATACAATTCATGGCAATAGTAAGAAAGAGCTGACCTGGGGGTGGGCAGGATAAAGAGGCAGATCCAGGATAATACCATCCTCTGCTCTTCTGGCCTTAAGTTCCCCACTCAGAGTGACAAAGGTTAGAGTGTTATTCACATTTTCTGGCCAAAAAAAAAAAAAAAAAAAGGAGTCTTACTTTGTAAATTAGAAAACTCTATGAAAGGAAATCAAGAAATAGGAAAATTAATTTTGTTATATATTTGTACATCTGTTTTGATCACTATTGTGTTGCCTTAGATTCCCTGGCAGTGCTGCCTTTTTCTGTGAGGAGAGGTTCAGGTTTGGGTTACTGGGGTCAGAGTAGAGACAGCCCTCACTGGATTCTCACTTAAGAGCTAAGAACATAACTGATTGGACTTGACATCATACTGCAAGGCTTCAAATGCCAGCTCCTTATTATAATGACTAATTGTGCCCCTGAGCAATTACCTAACCTCCTTAAGCCTCAATTTCCTCATCAATAAAATGGGGTAAGAATTAAACCTACCTCACAGGGATATAATAGTGTTTTCTAATGCAGATTTTTAAATACCCACCTGCAATACTGTATTGTATAAATAATACTAGTCTAAAATATGCCAAGGGGATGACAAACAGAATATACAAATTATAAACAACAATCTATTAGAAACAAATCAAGCTTACCCTGAATAAACCAAGCTATACAAAAAATTTTTATTTAAAGACTGGACCACAGGGATCCCTGGGTGGCGCAGCAGTTTGGCGCCTGCCTTTGGTCCAGGGCGCGATCCTGGAGACCCGGGATCGAATCCCACGTCGGGCTCCGGTGCGTGGAGCCTGCTTCTCCCTCTGCCTGTGTCTCTGCCTCTCTCTCTCTCTCTGACTATCATAAATAAAAATTAAAAAAAAAAAGACTGGACCACAACGCTGATATACTAGCCCTTCATGTTACTGATACAACTTGGACCACTTATCTGATCTCAATGTGGGTAACATTTTTAGTGAAAACAGATTTGTGACCTAAGTCTTTTCTACCCCTTAATATTTCTGTAAAACTTAACCATACCTAAAAGGCAAGGAAATCTGGCATTGTTCACTAACTTTCCCTGAATATAAAATTTATACTTTAAAACTCAAAGTTTAATTTTTCTCATTATAGGGCAGCCTGGGTGGCTCAGTGGTTTAGCGCCACCTTCAGCCAAGGGCGTGATCCTGGAGACCCAGGACTGAGTCCCATGTCAGGCTCCCTGCATGGAGCCTGCTTCTCCCTCTGCCTCTGTCTCTGCCTCTCTCTGTGTGTCTCTCATGAATTAAATAAATAAATAAATAAATAAATAAATAAATAAATAAATAAATAAATAAATAAATAAAATTTTCTCATTATAATTGGTGGATGACATCATTATTTGCAAAGCATTTTTCCATACCTTATCTTATCTAACCTTAAGACCACCCTGTGGGAGATCAGTCTGAAGGCTATTATTCCAAATCTCTGCCCTACACCAAACAATGTGGAGTTTTCAAAAGGCACTCAATCCAACTTCAGTTAAATCTTTTTAAGACTGAGTTCCTAAACAATATTTCAGGGTAGCGGCCTGCCTTCATTCTGTCCCCTATCCACAGAAACCAAAATTATCTTGTTAAGACATATAATGGATTACATTGTAGAGGAGTCTCAATGTTATTTCCTGCCAGCCACCCCCAGGGAGCTCCAGCCACTCCAGGTATACAGACTACACCTCAGGGCTTTGCATTTGCTACTGCCTCTGCCCAAATGCTCCTCTTCCCACTCTAATTCTTTGCACAGGTGGCTTCATATTCTTCAACCTCAAGGTCCCGTTGAGGGACCCGTTGAGTGGATACTGCTGTCCAGCATCTCAACCTTCCCCTCTGAAGGCTAGGACCAGGTGAGGCAAGGCAACACAGAGGCAACATTTAAGGAAGCACCTGCTCAAAAAAAAAAAAAAAAAAAAAAAAGGAAGCACCTGCTCTCAGGTGCAACCTGAAGCCTTGTCTCCTTTACCCAGCCCTGCCCCAGCTGCCAGGGGTGTTCATGACTGATAGCTCTCAGCTGAGTCCCACTCTGCAAATCACCCTCGGGTGAGTAGAGCTTCTTTACCCAAACTCATGCTGCTATTCTGGGCATTACGGGCTGGTCGATGAAGGGTATAAAGGCCTGAAGCTTTGTTTCTATTTGGAACTGTACCACCTGAAGGATCTTCGCAGTTCAGATCTACCTGTGGATTTGGTGTAGGCCTTTTTTTGTTGCTACCACTTTGCAGCTCAACTTCTCCCTCTGTTCTATTCAGCTTTCTTTACTCAATATTGACCCCAAGAATACTGCCCACAGTTCTTCTGGCATGCAATGTGCTTCCTAGGGAAACTTGTGCTGTAACACCTCCCAGTATTGTCCCTATCTAAGTAACTCTCCAGAGAACTTCCTTTTCCAACTCTGTTCTCCTTAGTTACTCTGTCATATCTTCCTATTTATTTCCTTGTTTAAGTTCTTGTTTGTTGTCTACACCTATTCATGGCTGCTTCCATCTCCACTTACAAGGTGTTTCTAGGCATCTCTCTTCTGCCTCATTCCCACCAAGCCCTGATCTTTATTATACTAAATGTAGCTAAGATGAAAACTGGTAGAATTTCGGTGCAGCTTCATTTCTTCACAAGGAAAATGTATATAGTCGGGGCTCATGAATCTTTAAACATCAGAGTGAAGAAGCTCTTGTGAGGGGTATTTGGCTGGCTCAGTCCATAGAGCATGTGACTTTTTGATCTTGGGGTCGTGAGTTCAAGCCCCATGTTGAGCATAGTTTACTTCAAAAAAAAGAAGAAGCTCTTGTGAAATGAATCTGAATGTGGGTGGGGACATATTTGGAGCAAAATGTCACATCATGTGAGATGCCTATTGGGTCTTGCAAGCTCCTTTCCTGTGCTGGTCAGACACCAAAGAGCTCGTGTTCAAAATAAAATGGCATTCTAAGGAACAATGACCATGGCTTTCCTACAGGCCTGGAACATACTCAGAAAGGCCAAAGTTTCGGGGGCTATATTTGTTTCAGTGTAATGAATGGCATGAATAGAATCAGCAATGTCTTTATAGCAGTCACTTTAATTCATTACAAAGAGTGACAATTTTTTAAAATATTTGCTATTTGCTCAGTTATAGGTTCATAAAAGAAAACCACATTACTTATTTTGTAAAACAGCACAGCTGCAGAAGCCAGGGTAGCGTGGCCACAGAGCGGAACCTCACTTGCCGGTGTAAACCACCTTAATCCAAAGCAGGAACCTTCAGGAGGAAAGCCAAAGAGAGACAAGATCATTCCCATACAAGTGGGTCACAAACTTTTCATTTTCTTATTCTTTTCTAAATATTTCACTATAATAATAGCTGAAATACACTGTGAAGGAGGAGTGAAGTCTAGGCCAGCATCCTAGGGCTCCCCAGTGACAGATCTGGAGCAGAAACCTTCAAATTTAACATCCTAGGGCTCCCCCAGATGAACAAAACCAAATTAGAATCTCCCCACCTTCTCTCCTGTCTGTATGCAAATAGTGTATGGGCATCTCTCTTAAATATCATTCCCCCACTGGAAAAGTAGCTTCTGCTACTGTTCAAGAATGGCTTAAAATAAAAAAAAAAAAAGCATATTTACTTTGTGTAAAGTTGTCAGTTGGGTTCAGTTTTCGAATAAAAGCAGTTTCAGAGAGGTTCATTTCTCTTGCAATTTTTTGATGTACGTCTTCATCCAATTTCTAAATTAGAAACAAAAGTTTATTGAGATTCCAGAAAAACAAATCATACTTCCTTGGACAGCAACTGCCATTAGTTAATAACACAGCTTATTAGTATTAAAAGTTACAAGCTTAAAGGGAAATAATTGCCAAGGAAGTCAAGACATTTTTACAAAGATTGTTTCTCAGAAATCTATGCTTGTAGCACTCTATGAGGAGCTATAGATGCACAAAGCTAGAACAGACTCTGGAAAACCTACTGGCCAGCCCTTTCATGAGGTTATTATCTAGTCTACCTGAGAGCATGTGCTCTCTTTTAAACAATCCCCACAAGGGGAAACTCCACAATCGCCCTTTCTTGTTGAATAAAAAGATCTTCAGCATCCACTCTGGGTAGGCTGGCCCATTCTGCTCCCACTATACGTGGTTCGATCCCTTTCATGAGTCAAACCTCAGGTTAGAGGTCACCTCCTCCAGGAAGCCTTCCAGACTGCTTTAAAGGCTTTGTTTTCTCCCAGTGCATAGACCATCTGAATTTGCCCAGTGTATCCCTTCACTGTCTGTTCCCCAACATCTGACTTTATGAGGGCATACAATGTGCTATCTTGATTTTTTTCTGGCTTATAGGTTGGATTCCTCCTAGAATGGTAGCAGCTCAATAAACATTTGCTGGACTCACATCTTCATTTTTACTTTTTTTGTGTGTATAAGCTCTATGTTCAATATGGAGCTTGAACTCATGACCCCAAGATCAAGAGTAACATGCTCTACCAACTGAGCCAGCCAGGCGCCCCACTTTATCTTCATTTTTAAAACACTCAGTATAGATATTTTTAACTACTTGCACATAAAGAAATCAAATACAGAGAGGTTGTGTAATATTCTAAGGTCACAATATGCTGAATAAATGGTAAAGTGGCTAAGAATGTGGGCTTTGTAAATGGTAACAATCAGTGAATCAAGAGGAAAGGTATATGGATGTTCATTGTACCATTCTCAAAACTTTTCTGTAAGTTTTTAATTTTTCAAAATAAATGGTTTAAAAAGTGATGTGAATTTGTATCCTGGGTCAAGTCCTAGTAGCTGTGCAAGACTGGACAAGTCATTTAATTTCATGGAGCCTCAGTTTCCACACCTATAAAATGAAGACAACAGTACTTAGACAAAAGAGTTACTGTAAAATCAGAAAAATACATATATACACATACACACACATTTCCTCAACTCAAGAAAAAAAGGGTCAGAAATATGAGTTTTCCTTTAGAGAATGAAAATAAATTTTTTAATCAACAAATGCTTGCTACTAGTTAGATTTTGAATTCTAAAGAATTCTCAAGACAAATGCATTTTTGCTTTGGCCAAATTTACTATTCTTAAGACCCCAAAACCCAGAAATAAGATGTATAACTTTATACTAATAAATTCATAATTCACTTATCTGACTTATATAGGTTAAGCATCCATTATCTTTTAGTTGATTCAAATTCTTTTGAAACACTTTCCACATCCTCATATAAGGCACAAAATAAGTGGTTATTTTGAGAAATCAGTCATGATTTTTAAACTATCAGCTGATATAAAAATTCTAGTGGATTTACAAAGCTTTTCTTAAAGGAGCACTGTATTCAAAATCTATAGACACTCGGTAGTCCTAGAGAAAGAGAAATGACTTAAATTGGTCTTCATTATCTGATAACCCAAACATAACACAATGGTTTTGTGTTTTACTTAACATTTTTCTTTCCAAAGATTAAATCCAATAATGATATAAAGTGTTCTTCACAATGCCTAACACACAGTAAGTACTTGGTAAAGATTAGCTTTTATTTTGAAACCCATGCTTTAACCAGCCACACTACTCTACCTACCCATAACAAAGACAAACTTTTATTATCTCTTTAAAACACTGCAGACAGGAAAACCAATGTCTATCAGATTTGACGGATTCCTGCAGCATTTCTAAGAGAAAGCAGCCATCAGCCAATTACCAAATGCTGTGCTAGGCCAGCAGTACCAGCACCACTACCAAGGGAATTTGTTAGAAATAGAGTCTCAGGCCCCACTCCAGACCTTCTGAATCAGACTCTCCTTTTTTTTTTAAACTATATTTCTAGGTTATCTGGGTGCACGTTAAAGTTTGAGAAGCCCTGGTGGATAAGATACAATCCCATGTTCAAGGGACCTAGCATCTGGCAGGGAATCAAAAAGCAACAGTGAGAAACAGCAGAGGGTATGTAATTGAGACACATAGATTTTTACAATAAATAATCTAGGACTTTAAAGATGAAGCTGTGAGGTGGGCTTAGAAATGGGGCATATTTTGGTGAGTTGGACAGGAAAATGTGGGCAAAGAGCTTCATATTGGGGATGCTTCTTGGGCAAATCACTTGACCTCACTTCTCTTTCTGTTAAATCTTTGACACTCTAGGATTCTGTGAGCTGAGGTAAGGAAAATTAGGATGGTAGGAATGAAATGGCATGAATACCTGTCACCCCTGGGATTGGGGAGTGAGTAGTCCACCTGAGTAGAGGGTAGAGGGTATGCTGGACAGACCAGCCAACAAAGCAACTATGTTAAGAAGCATGTCTCTTGGCTCATTGAATGTTCTGTGTGGAAACAGGCCCATGTGCCTGGGCATACAACACCTGAGAAAAACTAGGAGCCAATTAATTCCCTACAGCAGAGTCTGCAATCACAGGCCTCAGTGGCAATTGAAGGGGTGATAATGAAAAGCCTGTGTTGGTCTTTCTGGATTTGCCACCATGGCCGCAGAAACGTGGAGTGCCTGCCAGTCCTTCCTCCTCCAATCTGACCAAACTCCCTCCTTTGTCCTTCTTTTCCTGTCTATTGCTTCTCTCTCTCCACCTTTAGGACAAGAGTCTCAAAAAGCACTAAAGTATCCCATGTTGTAGCCAAGCTCACCATCAATTCTGAATAGAATAGATTTCTTTGCAAATGGGCTTTTTGCACATCAACTAGTATACACACTTCACTAACCATAAGCTCTTCAGTCCTCTCTACCTTGGTGTATTGCACCAATTGCGATTTGAATTTCTAAAACTGTAATTTCTGTCCCAGGACACTTAAGATGCACTTGCTTTTTGCCTGAAGGACCAGAAACGCTGTAGAAAGTTTGATAGTAGCAATATGCACCACAAGCAACCAAATTTCTACAGTGGAACCACAGGTCAAGATAATGGTCAATTATTAGGCTAAAGCTTCAACTCTGGAAGCTCTAACAAAAGAAACTTCCATGCAAAAAACTGAATTTCCATTGCAATAATCTTTTCATTTTACATTACAGTTATTTTCAAATGCAGCACATAACAGTTACACACCAACAACTGTTAATTCTCTTGATTTAATATCCATTTCCTTTTGGCAATCTCATAAGTCAAATTTCCAACAGCAAAGACAGAGCTGTGTTTGTTTTTCAGAGTTCCAGTGTGCTGCATTGGGACACAGGTTTCATCACCAGATGGCCCACAAACATTAATGATGAGAAAATCAGAGCAAAGTTTTAAAATACTCCCATCTTGTGGCAACTTGGAAATATGACAGTCTAAACATGATATCAGTCCTTGATCATTTGTCCCTCTGCTGTAGATAGATCCCAGCAAAGGAAAAGCACTTGGATATAGAAAGTTCTTTCTTTCTTTTTCTTTCTTTCTTTCTTTCTTTCTTTCTTTCTTTCTTTCTTTCTTTCTTTCTTTCTTTCTTTCTTTCTTCTCTCTCTCTCTCTCTCTCTTTCTTTTTTAGATTTTGTTTACTTATTTGAGAGAGCGTGCGCACAAGCAGGGAAAGCAGCAGAGGGAGAGGGAAAAGCAGGCTCCCCCATGAGCAGGGGCTCAATCCCCAGGATCCAATGTGGGGCTTGATCCCAGGATCCTGAGATCATGACCTGAGCAGAAAGCAGACGCTGAACAGAGTGAGCTACCCAGGCACCCCAGATATAGAAAGTTCTAAATCATCCAGGAAGAAATGGGAGATTCCTTCTGAAGCACTTGGATTTCCTATTTTGAAATTATGTCCACAACAATGTAGCCCTCAAACTGTAGGCCATCTTGTTTCTGATGATTCTCATGGGTGCTAAGTTCTCCAGCTCCATCATAGAACCCAAAGCTCACCACCACTTTGCACACCCTGCTTACCAATAACAGTAAGAGATCAGTAGTTGTTAGTCAGCTAGAACTCTTAGAAAGGGATCTTGCCATAATTTAATTAACAGATTTATTTCACTTAAGAGATAGCTATTTAGTGACTCTCATGTGCCAGGCCATGTGTCATAGAGTAAGTTAGAATAGGTTAAGATTTCATAGAATGTGCAGTCTAGTGAGGAAGACAGGCATTGAATGAATTACAACAAAAGCAATGCATGCTACCAACTGGGAAGTAAAGAGTCCATTGAGACAATATAAAAGGGGAGGACATCTAGTCTGGTAGTATGTTGGGTTAAAAGCATGGGCTGTGGGATCCTGAAGTCAGCCACTAGGTAATCATTTATCCTGCCTCTGCCTCTTTCTTCTCATCTGTAAAATGAGGATAATAAGACCCGATCTTAGGGGTGCCTGGGTGGCTCAGTTTGTTGAATGTCTGGCTCTTGATCTCAGGGTTGTTGAGTTCAAGCCCTGCATTGGGACCTATGCTGGGTGTGGAGCCTAGTCAAAAAACAAAAACAAAAACAAAAACAAAAAAAAACCTACTCTTAGAGTGATGTAAGGGTAAAGTGAGAGAATATATAAAAAGCAATTTAGCACAGTATCTGGCTGAACTTGCCTGAAGTTATTGCTCCCAAAGCTGAGGGTTATGTTGTAGTAGCCAATGAAGTAGAAATTCCCACATCAGCATCTCCCCCTCCCTTTTATTGATCTTTTTCATCAAATACCAGGCAAGAGGAAACCTTTCAATGGCTGGAAAAAATCTTCTCTGCATTCTTTAACATGCCTTTTCTGGGTATAAAAATGAAATATGACTTTGGAATTCCCTAGAAACCCCAGGAGCCTCTCACCCAGTGTAGGCA